CAAATTAATATAAACAACAACAGAAGCGTTCACTAAATCACCAATTCTTGCTTTAGCTTTAGAGATATTTTAAAATAACTCCACAGGAAAGAATAAGCAGACTTTGAAATCCAGTTTGGAGGCTACCATCTTGACACCGGTTCCTTGTTTTGGTGTTTACTGCAGTCTAAATACACTCCAATAACAGTGTTTAAATAACATTGTTTAATTTTTTTTTTTTTTTCAAACAACACACTCATTTTTCTACTACTTCTTAAAATTATAAAATTCATTATTAATATGACTGATTATGCCTTGAGCCATCGCATACATCTTTGCAGATTCATTCCTACACTGGAATCGCATTTACCTTATACTGCACATTGACCCAGAAGTGAGGGAGGTGTGAAAAATTCCAATACCACATTGCCAAGTGTCTGAGTATTTCTTCTATTGACTGTTCCACATCACAAACAACAGCTAAGCTACCCCACCCACCTACAAAGCGGTCACTTACATCCATCTCTTAAAAGGTTGCATACAGATCTTGTTCATAAAGTTTATTACGACACTATTTTTCAAAGTTAACATTGTTGTCACAGTACAGCTACAAGAGGCCCTGTTAAAAAGAACACTGTCAATACATTCTAAAAGAATTTAGAAACACCAGATCAATTGTCAGAAGGGACACCAACCCCCTCCTCCAGTTGCCCCTGCAGTCAGATGCAGGCCCCAGGTACAACTCTACACGTCTTCTACAGGCGTAGTAACGTACAAAGCGAGTCGGTAGTTAGGTGGCTCACTCCCTAGTGAGATGATATGCACAACAACAGAAGCGTTCACTAAATCACCAATTCTTGCTTTAGCTTTAGAGATATTTTAAAATAACTCCACAGGAAAGAATAAGCAGACTTTGAAATCCAGTTTGGAGGCTACCATCTTGACACCGGTTCCTTGTTTTGGTGTTTACTGCAGTCTAAATACACTCCAATAACAGTGTTTAAATAACATTGTTTAATTTTTTTTTTTTTTTCAAACAACACACTCATTTTTCTACTACTTCTTAAAATTATAAAATTCATTATTAATATGACTGATTATGCCTTGAGCCATCGCATACATCTTTGCAGATTCATTCCTACACTGGAATCGCATTTACCTTATACTGCACATTGACCCAGAAGTGAGGGAGGTGTGAAAAATTCCAATACCACATTGCCAAGTGTCTGAGTATTTCTTCTATTGACTGGGTCCCTACTCCTCTGAGTCTGAATTGACAGAAAGCACTGTCCTGGCAACAGTCGAGAGAGAATTCACGTCAGCTGAGGAAAGGACAGACTGCAGTGCCTTCGTTTGGGGGGCAGAAGCGAGAATCAAGTACGATTTCTAGCCGTATGTGCTGGTAAGATTGGCTACTCCAGTGCATCAGACCCCATCGCAACACGCTACCATGCTGCCTCTGGAAACTCACGGCTGCACCGTTCTACATTGCGGGAAGTGCTTCTAGTCAGCAGAACACAGCTACACCGTGTCTGGGTTTATCTTCGAGCTCTTAGCTGAGTGTAGACGTTCGCAAGGGGAAAAGCTTGGAAATCTATGCTACTCGGAGCCCACCGTGAAGGGGCTTTTGGAACGCGTTACCTGGGACTGTCAGTGATTACACCTGTGCTACCCTTGGCTCCCAGTCAGAAGAGTGTGTCCAGAAAATTGCCTAGGGTGCATGCAAGAAAGTATATAGCCATTAAGTTATCGAGGAACATACCTATTGCTCTCACTATGACGCCTCATTCAATTGAAACAGCGCAGTCTGGTGCGAGGGAGAGGGAAATGGGGACGAAGGAAGGGGATGAAAATTCCAAGCCACCCTCCCCAAAGTATAGTTTTATTGAAACAGAATCATTGTATATCCCAAGGAAACAGGCACTTGATTCCCCCCACTTTTAACTTCTCGGGAATTACAGTAAATATAAAGGTAAAAAGCAAGTTTCTTTTTGTCTTCACCCAAGACTTAAGCGACTGCAGTTATCCCTCATACATCTCAAATGAGACGGGAGACAGCTTTAATGTGTCTGAAGTTGGTCTTGTTAAAATATTTATCATGCCTTATTTTCTTGAAGCGCTAGTACTAATACAGAACTACAAATTAAAAAAATATGCACAAACCAAAAAGTAATTTGTAATTTTCATTAAGGTAAAGCTTAGTTCTATAATTCACAAACACTAATTTGAGTAACTCAATCCTAGTTATACATCTAAACAAACTATAATGCAACATACAGATGTTTTCCCTCTGTATGCCTATGTAACTCATGTCAATGACAGTTACATATATACACTGAGACTAGACCCCTTAAGACTGCAAATCAATAGGTGTTTCTATTGTTAACTTTAAATTAATACAAAATAGTAATTGAGAAATGCATTAATCCTCTCTATTAACTAACAAGGAAACACCCTAAACTACATTTTATTTCTGTTATAGAATTCTCTGTACTAAATGTGGAAAAACTGAACTACACAAATATTGAAAAGTTAAAAATTCCTTAATTTGTTTATTCCTGGTACCACTACCACAATTTACAGGGCAATATACCTGATGTAATGGGAAAATAAAAAGAAAAAAGAAAGACAAAGCTACAACAGATAAAGACCTCAGGAATGTACATCTAATCGACACTACATTGCATTAATCAATAGCTGCACTTTTTGCAAACTGTGGCTATGACAGTCCTGAACAAGAAGGGTTTCCTGTTTAAGCTGCGGTAACTTTTCTGACTATGGATCATCGTTCCTTCTGTGGCAGATTTTACAGTTCCTCTAATGCATTTGGGACGACTGTCTCAAAGTAACCTGCAGCTTTCCTGACAACTCCTCGCTCTCTCTCCTGCTAAGAACTGTAGCCTGTTGAATACAGGATAAGAAAATTATTACTCTCAGTGAACAGTTGTACATTATTAATCATCATTATAAATATGCATTACACCTACCCTTTTTCTGGTAGCATTTTTAGAATCTTCTACCACCATAGCCCCCACTTCCACTTCCAGATCCATAACCACCTACAAAAAATAGGGTGTATATTGCAATGTAAGAATAACCAGAAATTAAAAAAAAAAAAAAATAAAAATCAAAAAAAATCTGTACAAAGTCGTATTTACCACCATAGGGACTGCCTGAACTTCTGCCACCAAAGCTGCCACCACCTTTCATGGGACCATAGTTAGACTGCTGTTGTCCACTGTAATTGCCAAAATCATTATAGTTTCCACTTCCACCATAATTACCTGAAACAAATGCAGATTTATAAAGCCACTTCTGTTTAACGCTTCAGACGTGAAGCTTGCCTGATTACGACATCCATTGTAAATGTAAATTTTAATTGTTTAAAACAATTTAAAATAGAATTGCAAGCACTTTGCACGTCAACTCTACTCACAATGCACAAACAACAGAAGACCCTTAGCATTTTGAAGATTAGAAACTGGTGTTTCATTGAAGATGAAAAGCATTACGCTACATTAGAAAATGCATACAGGTTTGAGTAGGCAATTTGAAGTTAACACGTTAGGCCAAATTTAAGGCCTCCAAACTCAGAAAAGCACAAGTTTCACCGCCATTCTTCCACTGCCCAACGCTCTTGCATGTATGACAATGCGAACTACATACAGCTTACTCGCGCTAAGAAGTGACAGAACAGTAGCAGGCATGCTGCATATACACGGCAGAGGGTATGATAAAGTATGCAGCAGATTTTGCAGCTTAGCTCCCTAAACTTGCACTAGTCCTCACAAGTGCTTACTGCTCCTTCTCCAACAGTTCTAGTAAAGGACCTAAGCTGTTTTTGTATTTGTGGGATACCCCTAACCAGAAGCATCCTATCATTAAAGGCCTCCATAGAAGTTACCCCAGATTTAAAATTACAGTTCAGAAGTCCCTGCAGGGAAATGAATACTGACAATGTAGAACACAGCTAAACTGATCACACAACAGCACACAGATAGATGTGTTTTGGTTAGATATTAACATTGATTTTAAATATACTCATCAAGGGTTTACACGTTAAGGTTGTAATGCGATTTCCAGTTAGTCTAATTAGAATGTGCAATTGGCAAAAGAACTGCTTTTATAAAAATAACCGGAGTAGCTCATTTCCCAGACAAACAAAAAAAAAAAACCTTACAGAAGCTTAGATGTACACTCCTCACCAAGGAGGATGTGATCTACGTGATGTGAACCGGTATCTGACAGCAACAATGTGCTTCAAATGGTCAGAAGTTTAAAAATTCTCCTACTCTGCCTCCACACACAGATTTATAGATGCTGCTTTTTGAAAAATAAGTTCCAGGCAAAACGGTGTTGTATTGTGGATCAAAGCTGATCAAGAGGGAAAAGAACCTTCCTTATGTAACACAGCATTCTGCATTAAGATCTAATGGTACAACTCATTTTATGCAGTATCATACTTCAGTCATTGTACAACTCAGACCTGCCTAAAAAAAAAAAAAAAAAAAAAAAAAAAAAAAGATGTCTAATTAAAGCTGGCATCTTACCACCACCAAAATTTCCTCCTTCATTGTAGCCATCGTATCCTCCTCCTCCACCTCCATATCCACCACCTGGGTTTCCATATCCTGGTCCTCCACCACCACCATAACCTCCTCTGCTGCCATAGCCAGGACCACCTCCATAGTTGCCACCTTTGAATAGAAGAGTCAAACTGAACACACCAGAACTAAATATTGGCAAGAAAAGTTCCATTTAACAAAAAAACCACCCAACCATAACAAACAATAAAAATGTGCTACTATGTTTTCCCTGTATTATAGTCATTGCAGCTGCATAATTTATTGAACTATTTAGTCCAAACAAAAACAACAGTGGTGTATACCTTTGCAGCATGGCACCTAGAAGTTCATTCTGGCTCACAAAAATACAGACATGCTGCTACCACCATCACCACCCATTACATGCATTAACTGCCTCTTTACACAAACAGTGCTGTCACTACTGTGTGTCGTCCTCTTTATTCCTCTGAACTGAAATGACTCCGCAGGCAAAGCCCTCAAAAAAATTCTGGTTTACAGTTTTTATCTGGATGTACAGCTTTATTTACACCTGCATCAAAGCTACCAGGCATTATTTTTTTTCTAACCACATAAAGAATATCTAAAAGACTTAGTATTCCAGATGCTGATCTGGTCTCCGACACTTTGATGGAGTAGTTCCAAGTTGGGAAATAGTTCCAAAGAACTCGGCATCACTACATATATCTGCTTATAGAATCAGGACAAGTAACTACATCCTATTTTCCTCATTTCCTCCCCTCCCCCCAGAAATGCTACTTCCACAGCCATTTGATAATTTCCACAGTTCTCTTCAGATGCATTTTGGATACTCATCCAAACTTCATTGTGGAAGGTACTCCTGAGCCATGAAAAGTCTTACAGATGATTGAAAAGATTTCTGGTATGTTAGTCAGTCACTGCTTTATTCAGTTTTAGTTATCAACTGACAACACAATCTTAATTTAGTTCTCAATAATTATAAACAGCTGCTGCATGACCTTAGGGTATTTAAAGGGTAAATATAGGAGCTTTTTTTTTTTCACCCATCAGTTTGTGGGGAAAACAAAAAACGTTTAACTCTTCACAGCTCTACAATGTCAAAAACATTATCACCAAAGTAGACTTGGTTTCCAAGGTGAAGGCAAACCCTATAGCTGGTTATAACCCTGCGGGGGGCGGGGAACGGGGGAAAGCGAACAATACACTTACCATCACCAAATCCATTGTATCCGTCACCACCCCCAAAGCTTCCTCTGCTCCCACCACCGCCACCACCACCCCCATAGCCTCCTGGAACATAAAAAAGATGAGAATGTTTTCCTGAACACATGTGTGAAGTGTTTAAGCCAACTGACACAGAAAACAAAAAAATAAAAATCATATTCTATATAAACATTCCAGTCAATTACCTCTTCCACCAAAGTTTCCTCCTCGGCCAAAGTTCCCTCCACCGCCTCCGAAGTTTCCGCGACCCATGAAGTTGCCTGAGCCACCCCCACGACCTACAAAATATTTTACTTTAATTACATTAATTGAAAACCAGTTACATAAAATAACCATGCACAACTCCAAACTCACCTCTCTGAGAGCTAGCAGTCTGCATCTCTTGTTTTGAGAGTGCTTTTTTCACTTCACAGTTATGTCCATTTATAGTATGGTATTTCTGAACTAGAGAAAATTGTGAAATAGGAAAGAGTTAGAAAATCAAATCACTGAAAGCAACATGCTGTAAAACTCTCACAGAAAACTACTGTAAGGCATGACCACACTATTAAATCTACCCCTTCTCTTACAATAGTCAAGCAGTTCATTTACTAACATCTCACATTCCACACTCCGCTGTTCTGAAATCTAATGTTACTCTTTTATCCCGTAAATAATTTCTCACTAAACAGTTACATACCAACAATTTTATCAACTGTATCATGATCATCAAAAGTTACAAAAGCGAAGCCTCTTTTCTTTCCACTTTGCCTGTCTTCCATGACTTCTATGGTTTCAATCTTGCCATATTTTTCGAAGTACTCCCTTAAGTTATATTCTTCTGTATCTTCTTTAATTCCACCAACAAATATTTTCTTTACTGTGAGATGTGCCCCAGGCTTTACAGAATCCTGTAAGACCAAAAATGACACTCAGTGTTTTAAATTATTAAGTGAAGATTAGGAAATAAGGTTAACTGAAACACTAACTTACCTCCCTCGAAACCGCTCTCTTTGGTTCAACCACGCGCCCATCAACCTTATGCGGTCTAGCACTCATGGCAGCATCCACCTCCTCCACACAAGAGTAAGTCACAAAGCCGAAGCCTCTGGAACGTTTTGTTTGTGGGTCTCTCATCACCTGCAAAAACATAGGGGGTAGTCTGCATTTCTGCACTAAGATTAAGTACCTGTATCCTTTCAAAAGCACAAAATAGTATTTGACACTTTACCACACAGTCCGTGAGCGTGCCCCATTTTTCAAAGTGCTCTCTCAAGCTATCATCTGTTGTTTCAAAGCTCAGGCCTCCAATGAACAGCTTTCTCAACTGCTCCGGCTCCTTTGGCTCATGGCCCTACAAAATAAAGAATCAAAAACGTATTTTGAATACAAACCACAGAGTTAAAATTTCACAGAATTACTAAAAATTATCTGTGCACATTATAACTACAAATAGGTGGAATTCATTTACATAAAAACAGTAACTTCTAATGGGTTTAGACACCAGCATAGTAAAACACTTAATGAGGTGTGATTTTAATTAAAACTAACTAACTAACAATTTAAGAGTGCTCAAATGCAAACAACAGTAAAGAGATTTCAATACACTAAATAATTTGGTTGCTCCCCACCCCCCCCGAAGCGCATTTATTTTATGCCTAGCTTATGTTCGAGTTGCATATTGCTCTGTACGGATTAGCAATGAAGCACTGCTAGATAAAGGGAAGTTTTAACACTTTATGAAACATAATCATGAACTACAAAAAAGTTAAGAACACTGTGTACAACAAAAGAAGGTTATTGTCCAAACTGAGTGTCTAGCCTTTTGGAATATCCACTTTAAAAGGTTATTTTTAAGCAATTAGAAGAACTTTATTAATTCTTATTTCCTTAAATTTGTAAATTTTGCACTCAGATAATTTTGTAAATTGAGTGCATGCAAGCAAGTAGAAGTACTTAGGTGGTTTTCAGTGTTGGGGGGAAATACCTCCTAAATGTGAATCAATATGGACTCACGTCTTGCAGATAAAAAAATATCTTGAATAATGACTAATCAATGACCAGTAGTGGGTATAACTACTGGAGTAAGACTGGTACCTTAACAAGCACTGTAAAATAAACTTAAGTTTAATTGAAGCTCTTGACAATATCACCTATATATGACCAGCCACATTTTAAAATGTGCTAATCTTCAGAGCCCAGTTTTAAGGCACGAATAAAGTGGGCTTACAAGTGCATTAGGGTTTCTGCCCTCTTCCTGTGCCGCATAGTTTTTCTGTAGCTAGGCAGGGTATATCCCCACACATTTGACAGGAGTTTATGAAAAATTATTTCACAACTTTTTCCAAGACAGAAAAGTCTTACAAAAAGCAACCAGATTAAAATCTTATTTAGCAAGCTGGTTCTTTTGTGCACGTAAAACACTCCACAGCAAGGTCCTGGCTAGCTATGCTGCATATGACTTCAATTCTGCAGCATGAATGCGTAACAGGCTTCACTGTTCCTGCTGCAGTGGGTTAACCTAGACTAGATGCAGCATTAGCCTGAGAGCTGAAATACATAAAACCAGCCAGACTTCTGCATGTAGGTGTCTTGCGTCAAACCTGAAGGTGAAGTGCGTTAACCTCTGCCACAGCTTAAATAAAGGGAGCGGGGGGGCTAGGGTTGTCATAAAAGCATACATCCCTTTCAGTGCAACACAACCACCGTAAAGAGCAATGAAAATTGTGAAGCAATACACGGCAAAAAAGAATTTCTGAATTATATACTGCTTTAGGAAGCCATTTGTTTATAACGTTCAGGTTGTACTACAGGAAACAATCCCTAAGATTATGAAAAGCTGGCTGGGAAGTAGATCCCTGCTCTTACACCTGCCAAGCTTAGCAGTAAGAGCCTCAGCATTCTTGGTAACAACTTCCTATTTAAGGCACTAACTTTGTTCCTAAGGGAACATTATATAAATGACTGACAGTCAATGGTCTTGTGACTACGAAGTGAAGCTTCTTTTCTGTGGTCTTGCGAGTGGTTTGGCCTACAGGACTATAATAAAAAAAAAAATCCCCCTTCTAGCTATACATAAACTTAAAACCTTACAGGGTAACACACCTACCGTATACAGAGACTGCTTTAGGTTAAGTGAGATACTGTTTTCTGTTGCTAATTGCCTTTTTTTTTTTTAATCTACTGACACTACTTAATTTTTAGCTAGGTTACGTTAAAGCTGGGAACATTAAATGTTTCAAACTCACCTATTCATATTAAAGGAAATTTATTATGTGAAACTGTAGAGTTTAGACAAAAACCAATATAAGCAAAAAATGGAGAGACTTTTTAGTTCTATGACACCCCTCAAGACTACAGCGTTTTCAGTTAGCAACTCAAGCTGCTTTTACCTTAAAAGAATGACCACAAAACTCTCCAGGTCACTCCTGAAAGGAAAAGTGAAGTCCTTTTCTGCTTATTTTTATTATGTGCACATAAACTGCTGTTCTCATATGGGAGGAAAAAACACTTGCAGTTACAACTTCTCTCTTCTATCAGAGAGAAATTATCCTCATACTTATGCTATAGGAACACTCCACAGAAATAAAAGGCAACATTTTCTTAGGGAATTAGTTGTTTCTTTCAGGCATTTAATTCTCACTGGGGATAAGCATCTCTAGGGTTTTCAGAGTGCTGTTCTCTATCACACAAGATGTTGTTTCCCAGTTCTCCTGCTG